TCTTGGCTCAAGGGCACATTGCTGGCTCAGTAATAATAATAGAGTAATAGTAATAAATTTTAGTAATAAATTCCTTCTGTTACAGAAAAACTTATTATCAAACTTAGATCCAAGCTCCCCATTTTACGCACGTGTTTCTCAGGCAGCACATTTCCCATTACCTCAGACTCTGGAACCTTCCCATGTTAATTCTGCTGTCCCCACCCTCAGGCGAGAAGGCGTTGGCATTCGGATCCAGTGGGACAAGCTCAGTCGCGCCTCCTTCATCAACCGATGGAACCCGTGGTCCACGAGCATCCCGTACGTCACCTTCACCGAGCACCCGATGGCAGACGCTGACGAGAAGGTCGCGTCCCTTTGCCTGGTAAGGACGTCACCTCTGCTTCCTTGGTGATCTCAGACTGAATGCTGCTTTATCTTGACAAGATACAGCAGTTAAATCAGAGACACCACTTAGAGCTGCAAGCTGCATTGCCCCGTTCTCCAAATTTTGACTTGCAGGGCAGCCCAAGCGTCAGGCTTTGCCAGCCACCCCTAAATGGTTTATACAGGAAGGACGCTGCAACTTCCAGAGGTGCAGAGTCCTGTAAAACCCAAAAGAAAACGGGTTTTGGTGCTATTCCTACTCTTACCTGAGAAGCCTATGCCTGACTTTTCCTCAGGGACTGCCAGCTCATTAAACAAATAGTTAATTGCCAGCAGTAGACCTTCACTGAGGTGGTTTTAAGCTTTTTTTCTATAAATGGTTGCTTTCCTCTGAAGGTTTTGCTAAAACTGGAACACTGTGGTAATGTGGGTTCAGCACAGCAGCGGTAAGGGCAGGAGAGCTACAGTGAGGAATAAACAGTATTGGTTACTGATAACTCTTGCACCTCTAGCCCTCGTGTTTGGGTTACACATAAAGAGTGTCCTGCTTTGAAGTCAGTTTTATTATTAAGGTTAAATGTTGGAATATGAAGTTTACCGTGGCAGTGAGATCCACAACAGCTTTAGTGTAAACCCTTTGCAGTTCAACATCAGCTGCTGTTGGCCTAAGAATGCATAAAAACAGTGGGAAAACCCAGTAATTTTTCTGTTTCAGCTGGAAAACTTCAAAACTCAGCTCGTTCAGGCTGTGAAGAAGGCGCACAAGGAGCAGCCGCTGCCGGGCAGGGCTAACGGCGTTTTGGTGCTGGAGCGGCCGCTCCTCATCGAGACCTACCTGGGGCTGATGTCCTTCATCAACAACGAGGCCAAGCTCGGCTACTCCATGACCAGAGGCAGATTTGGATTTTAGCATCCACAGCACTCGATCTTTTCAAGGGAAAGCCACTTGGTACTGGGGAGAGCGCGCTGCGGGGCAGAGCACTCGACGGTGGGAGCGAAGAAGGGCGAGCGTGGACCCAGGGGATCACAGGAGCGGTTTTGGTCAGGGTAACCCGAAGCAGATGCGAGGCAGCGTCATCCTGGTACTTTTCTATCTCATTTACTACACGGGGCTAGTGAGCAGTGGCGTTTCCATTTCTAATTACGTGCTCTTCCCTGTTAGTTAAGTGTGATTGGTGTCTGCTACAAACACTCCTCACACACCTGATGCAGCAGAACCTTCATGCCCTATTCCAGGTGTGTCCCTCTCTGCGGTGTCAAATCATGCAGCGTGCTTGGGGTTGATTCCTGTTGTTTAACCAGGTGTTAGCATTCACAATTGCAGCAGTCTTCGCATTTTGATTAATGCCTCGTACCGATTCTGAAAGCTGTGTCATTCTTTAGCAGAGCAGCAGCAGTAAGTTGTTAAATCTGTACCAGTAGATCAGCTCAGCAGCAGTAAGTTGTTAAATCTGTACCGTTACGTGAACTACTACTGCACATTGTTTGCTTTTTGTAGAAATTCCTCCCTCTAAGAGCAGAGTCTCGCCTCCTGGTTTACTTCTGTACCTTTCCTTGCTGCAGCCATAGCTTAAAGAGTCTTTGGAGAGGATATTGCCAAAAGCCTCACAAGCACATTTGCCTTCAAAGCTGTTTATAAAACAGATCTATTATGATCAGATTTCTGTTCTTAGAAGTTTTTCTTCAGTCTCCTCTGGTCTGGGACAGCAGCAGTGCAGGACTTTTTAATGGGGACAGGCAGAACTTGAAGCGCTGCACACCAATCCTGATGGGTGTTCTTGTGCTTGACCTCGTACAAGTGTCCAGCGCTGAAATTCAGCAGCAGCGCAAGAGACACCACAACCAAAAGTGCTCAGAGGTCACCAGCAGCTTTCTCATGATGTCTGACCTTCGATAGATGCCATTTTACCAGAGCATTTCTCTGCACAACTGCAAGGCTGACTAAATGCTGTGCTGCAGTGGTGTTTTTTGAACGTAGACCTGTGTTTATAAACGTCTGTAAAAGCTGAAGTCATGGTGGAATACAGCAAAGCTGCATGCCCCTCTCAGTGCATTTTCTAAGATGTCTAATTTCCATTAATCTTGCAGTAAAGTTTAATTTCAACTCCGTTTGTTCTTTGTTCTTCATTTTGTGGGGACTGATAAAGTGGCAAAAGAAAATACATCCCATCAGCTCCTAAACATTGGGCTCCCTTCCTTTGGGGATACAGTGGCTCAGGTTAAAGGTAAAGGATGCTACAACTGCTCTTTCCCTCCATCCCCTCCCGTTTCAGTTGCCTGTAATAAATCACTCAAGGATCAGTGATGCTCCATCTCAAAGATCCAGTGTAATAAATCTGGCAGACCAGGCACAGTCACAGCTTCATCTGGAAAAGTAAAGTTACTACAGGTGACTTAATTTACTTTCTGAAGAAACAGTGATGGATTTGCTTCTTGCTTACAGGCTTACTTGTGTCTCACTGATGTATCTACTTCTGCTACAACATTTAATTCCAGTACACCAGTAAAACCTGTTGCCTCACAAGCCCAGATAGAAGCTGTGCGTGGTTGTGTAGAAGAAACTGTTTCCTTGTGCTGGGGTGAAGAGTCCATAATCACAGCACTGATAACACAGGAACAGACTCACACTGGAGACGTGCGGGTTTATAGTTGAGTCACGGCAGGTTTGTAACTATCAAAATATTTATTGGAAGTTATAAAATTTAAATAATAGCTATACATTATATACACACAGCTACAGTTGTAGAAAGTAAGGTTTCATAGGTGGCAAAGCTCAAGAGGGAGTTCCACTACACCAACGCTGAAGTGTCGGTGCAGTCCACACTCCGCTCTCCAAACCGCAGTTGCTAAATCACCTCATTCAAATGCACTCACAGCACTCCACACACTGGAGTTTGGGTACGCTCCTTCAAATAAATAACTTATAAATACAAAAACTTCAGGTGGGGCAAGAGGGTGTGAGCCCTTTCCTCATTCTTCCTTGAATTCGTGAGCATTTTTACTGCAAGTGACTGCTATTTGACCTCTTCTCTTTCTAAGTAACACACACAGAAGCTGTCCTTACTCAGAAGCACCATGGAGTCTCCACTGGGATGCCAGGAGAGAGACACGATCTGGAAGTCACCTGCAGGAACACCAGACATTGGAGGTTGTCAGTGAGAAGCTGCCAGTGCCCTCTTCTCACTCCAGGAAAAGGTAGCAGGGTAAGTCACACACTGCAAAAAACACCCACCCCATTTTGGAAGCCTTAACAGGGCGTTGGATTTGGTACAGCTGCAGCAGAGCCCACCCCTCCTCACATGCAGCCCGCTTACAGGTGGTAAAATATTCTGTGAGAAGCCAGTACTGGCTTGTGGGAGTCACCACGGGCAGCCCTACCTTCTGTGGGGACCTGCACTGCCACGCAGCCCACGGGGGACCACACGTAGACTCTGCTGTTCCCCGTGCACACCGCGAGCCGGGGCTGGCGGGGATCCCACTGGAAGGACTGGATCGGACACAGCTGCTCCAGGACCACAAACAGCTTCAGCTTCTGGATGTCCCAGATCCAGACAGCGTTAGGGATGTTGTCTGTCAGAAAAGGAAGAGGCAATCGTGTCAACACCGGAGGGATAAACTCTCAGAAATAGGCATTGATTGAGGTCTAACAACACAAACCATTCAGGTACACCACAGGTTTAACTCCAAGGGAGTTTTGCCTAGCAGTGCCTTCAGTTTTCCCCTCTAAATATTGCAAAAAGGATAAAAGAAGTGACTTTGTGGTCCAGTCCTTCACTGGCTTTTATCAAATCCTTCACAGTTATGCTGCTGGTGATGGGTTTTGCCTCTGAACCACACAGATGATTTTAAATAGGGCCAGGAGTCTGCTCACAGCGCAAAATAGCTGACCAATTCCTGTCTCGTTTCTCTCGAAAATCCACCACATACAACAAATAGGTTTTGCCTTTAATAGAGGGCAGCAGGAACTCACCATTTCTGGTTGCCAAGAAACAGTTGTCTGGACTGAATGCCAACATCCCGATTCCCATTTTGGGATTTGCCCTGTCAGCAACTGGTTTGATGAACTGTAAAGAAACCGGCACCTGGGAAATGTCATCTGGAATCGGAAATAAAAGTACTTCACTAAGGAGCCCCGAATGGAAAATAGTTCAATTCCAACTGTTAAAACCCCCTCATCTCTGAAGCGACAGGACCAGATTTTACTCTTCTCCAAGAGGTTCCAATCAAAAACCTCAACTGTTTTAAGATACTGCATCTGCAGATGAACAGCTTACTGTTCCTGCCCCTCTACGAAAAAAAAGGCAGGAAATCCAAGCAAATCTGAGATTAAACTGTGGAAAAAAAGGAGAGACCCAATTTTCTGCTACCTTTTAACCAGTGCTTCAAACAAACACTGATGCAAAACAAAGGTGATTTACAGTAACAAAAGGTACTAATCATACGTTGGCTGCTGTCTCTGATATTTCAAAGCCTGCTGTGTGGAGAGAGGTGTAAAGCATTGCTACGACTACCACCCCTTAGACAAAGGCCCTTTTCACGCTCTGCATTTCCACACAGCCTCATACCTACAGGATTAATTACGACCCTAAGACAGGCAGCAAGACTGTAACACCTTCTCATTGATTTTACGTTGCTGAGACTGTAACAGCAGTCCCTGCAGCTCTTCAGTTAACCCAGGAGACCTGAGCAGAGCATCCACTGTGGTACCAAAGAGGCAGAGTTCGCCTATGACGATCATTTAAGGAAAGACTTCACACGGCAAACTCAAGCGTCTCGTTTTAGTAAACTTTGGCTTACATTTACTCTGTGTGCTGAAGAGAGAACTAGCCAATGCTCTTGTTGGAGGGAAAGAAAGTCTCTCTGTTTCAACAGATGGGGATTTCTCCACTTCTTTATACACAATCTACAAAGAAACAAGCGAGAGTTCTACAGCAGGGCCTTGGAGAATGTGAGCACGGGCTATTACCAGATCATCCACATCCCACGAGCTCGTTGGCAAGGGTATCGCATCTCAGCAGCCCCTACTTCAGCAGTGGAGGACAGGGCTCCAGCAGGCAAATACCAAATCCAGCATCATCCAAAAACCATTTGCTATTTGGAGCCACGATCAGGAAAACACTGTGACCAAAAAAATGAACCTTCAGGTCTGCAAAGAATGAGCCTGCTGGAGCAGACCTCATCCGTTATTCCCTACAGCTAAGCCTGGCAGTACAATAAATCACAGTCATCACATGGGAACACAGATTTCATTTTTGCCACAGAGAATCCTTAACTGGGTATTATCACGAGTAAAAGCAAACAAAACCCAACCTCGCAGAAGGAAATAAATATATTTTAATAGTGTGCCTACTACACATTATTCCCAGACACAAGCACCAGGACAAGTGCACCAGCTGCAGTCCCTGTCTGTGTAGCAGAGGTGAACAGAGCTCTTTCCATGTGTTTTCCGTTACGTATTTTACACTGGAAGTGGGGGCATTTTTCACTTGTGAGAAGTTTTGCTCAGGTGCATTTAATGGCTCATGCCTGCTTCTGGTTAAGAGGCATCGCCACAGTGACATGAGGCCCCCACACGTGAACTCCTCCAGGATCTGTCCAGACACAAGCCCAGTCCTTCCTCTGCAGCAGCACACAGCACTGCTACACCGTGTTCTTGCACCTTGACAAGAACAGCTTGTGATTTCTGGAACAACAGCTACAGCTCTCTGCCTGCTGCCAACTACCCAGAATCTGTTGGGCCTTGCGTATACATGTAGGGAAGGATAAAAATAAGAGATGGCAAATATTTACAGGAAATGTTCTTTAGGTGAGCTGGATGAGCTTGTACGTACAAGATGAAAGTCTGATCACAAGCCAGCTCCAGCGCTGCTTAAAGCCATGAGTTGTATAAAGCTGAGAAAAATCTCTCCTGTTAAGTTGCCGGATTTGCCATCATCTGCACACCCAAATCTGTAATGCAATCACCACATGCATCAAAATACGCTGGCAAGCGACAGAAGCCATCTGAGAATCTATGAGTGCTGAAGCTGAGAGGATCATGTGTGGCATTCCATCAAACTTGAAAGGATTCCTGCATTTCTTACACCCCCAAACTTTCACGCGATTTCCCAAGCCCTATTTACACCTCAGGAGAGGAAAAAGCAAGGTCTCCGGTATGAAATGTATTTACTAGCACCTTTCAGATAGAACCAGGAGCGCCAGAGTGCTGCTAACAGTTCCACGGACTGTGGATCCGTACTCACAGTCTTGGTGCTGGCAACGGTTGCCGGATGCTCAAACTCTGTGATCTTCTTCCAGGTGACGTGGTTCAAGATACGCACCTAGTTCAAGGCAGGATCACGAGACAAAACCGTTATGGCACGGTTCTACAAGTGGTTTAGATAAAAGAGGGAAAATAAGCCCGTTTCTTACCTTCTCATCATAGCTGCCAACTGCCAAGAATTGACTGCTGGGACTCCAGGCGACCGATTTGATGCCGAGTGACCACTCATAGGCCCGGTACGTGGAGAGCAGTCTGCCATCGAGGGAGTACAGCAGTATCTTGTACTGGAGCAAGCAGATTAATTCTAAAGACTAATGATACTGTTAAAAGCCATAGACAGGCAAAGCCATTCCTACCAAACCCTCTCTGCTTAAAACACAGCAAGCTAAAATACAAAGGGCATGGTCTCTCATCTGTGATGTGAGACAAGGGGCTCAAGGCTTCAGTTTGGCTCTTCTGGCACTGGCAGAACACGTCCTCCTGGGGACAGGGTGGACAAGTGTCCCCAAGGCCTGAGCAACGGCCCACTGCCCAACACCAGCAGAAGCCCTTTGGGAGGCTCTCACTCCTTCAGCATCTGCTGATCAGGGCTGCCACAACCCTGCCCACTCCAGAGCTTTTCAGATCACGCTGCCCAGAACTTCATGGCCACAGGAGGTCACTCCTCTATAACCAGAAGTTCACCTCCTCAGAGCAGAACAGATGGCAACGTATATATTCCTCACTAACCTTTCGGATGAGAACTTTCACTTAACTGCACGATTACTGTGCAATGCAATGTAAAATAAAATGGTAGAAGAGTCTTACAGAAGAATTCTTTCATTATTCTTACACTATTTCAGTGGTGGCTTCTGCAACGTTTACAGTCAAATTGCTTTTCAAGATAAATTAGAAAGAAAGCTGGTAATGTAATTCATTGTCATTAAAGATTTACATCACAGCCTGACATTCACTTGTAAGGACATCGACTGTCAATACAAGCATAATGTTTAAAATGGTTTGAGTTCTGTTTTTGTTATGTTTAAAAGAAAAAAATATACAAACACTAGTTATTTTAGTTACTGCTTTACAGATGGCTAAAAACCAACTTGAACTCTGCAAGAAAATAACCTGCTTCTTCCTCATACCTCCAGACACGTATCCCACGCTGCCAGAACACAGCCATTAGGAGCCCACTCAATCCCAAACAGATCTTGTGTTTCGGTGTCAAAGTGCTGTCCCACCAAAGAAAAAAAATCATTATTATTAAGGTAGCCAAATTTATTGTAAATAAGCTCACGCAAGCTTCAAAGGAGGACTTCTGCATTCCATCAGCAACAATTTAGGCACACACAGCATACATTGGATGTCTGCAGGCCAATGCAGGAGCCAGACACCGGCCAGAAAACTCACTGCTAAGTCTAAAATCAAAGCCCCAAAGCCACAGTCCGCAGCAGCGAGCAGCACACGTCTGCAGCCTACGCAGGAGCAGTGGCAGGCAAGGACAGATCTTACCCTCAGCAGCTGCCAGTCGCTGCACACGAAGATGCTAATGAAGTCCTTGCAGTCCCGTCTCTCTGCCACTGCCATATAGCGGCCGTCCTTGGTGAAAGCAATCCCTGCCAATGAGAAAACCTTGATTTAAAAGAAGAGCAAACAAGACAGGATAGCTAATGGCTCTTCAACGGAAAGCAGTTACTCCCAGTTCGAAGGGAGGAATCCAAAAAGCAGGAAAAACATCTTCACAGCAGCTCACGTTGATCAAGGCAATGCACAGCGTTACCGATTTGCGCGTGTCGGCAGTCGGTCAACTCTGAATGGGTGATTTCTAAGGACGCAGCTTCGCAGATACCGCGGGACTTCAGCACGCGCCAAAAAAAGCCCGTTTGAGTAGAGGCAGTTGTTACACAAAACCACATTTCAACTCAGTCCAGCTAAACACGCCACTTATGCAACCACCCGGCTTCCACCGGCTCCCGGGCATCGCTCCCCATCCACTCCTATTCCGCATGTAACACCCGACTGTCTGGCACCAAGCTGTGCCAAGGGAGGTCCAGGTTAGAGATAAGGAGGAAGTTCTTTACTGAGAGGGTTGTCAGAAGCTGGCACAGGCTGCCCAGGGAGGTGGTGGAGTCACCATCCCTGGATGTGTTTAAAGAGCGGGTAGATGAGGTACTTAGGGATATGGTTTAGGGGGTAGACAGGAGCGGTTGGACGTGATGATCTCAGAGGGCTTTTCCAACCGAGCCATTCTGTGATTCTGTGATTCTGTCTGTGGCACACACAGGATATTGCTGTATCCAAGCCTCGGGCAGGACGCTGCTAACCACAGCCACGTGGCTACGCATGCCTGACACGAGCTTCTCTTCAAATCCTTTTCATGCGTAGGAGATGACAAAAGCCATTCTGGGTTAGTGTTTTTCATCACCAACGCATCCAGCTTCATTTAATGCCTTAAAGGACCTTTCAGAGGCAAACACAACACAGCTCCATGTTCAAAACACACAGGTCGGGAGTAATCCTCTATTCACAGCAAGGACACGACATCCCCAGAGCAGCCCAGTGCACAGGTACTGAGTGCAGGGACCAAAACGCTGGTTTTCTCATTACACAAACGCATCTTCCCCTTTCTGCCGTATTAAAAAGCAGCATTCCCGTGGTAGATCTGTGACACTTACCTTGCTGACAAGCTTTGGGATACTTGATGTAAGACACAGATTTCGTACACAAGGACCACACAGTTATCCGCAGCTGCCAGAGAAAGAGACGAGGAAATACCGAGTTATTTTTGTAGATAAATAAGTACATAGAAACCCATAAACCTACCTCAAGAACACAAAGTACACCACTATACTTCTGCAGGTAATTAAACCTCACAGCTATTCGCTGTGGCTTAAACACAAAGCCCTTAGGAGTAACTATCTCCCAAGTGCCCTCAGTTAGCGAGCTCCCTGTTCCAAATTAACATTGCAGGGACACTCGAGATGCCAAACACCAACGGGGAGAAAAGCTCTTCATTACCACTCGAGTTACTGATATTAGCACCAGTCTAGCTCCACCATTGCCAACCTATCACACAGGCACTGTTCAGCTGGAGAAAAAGGCAGTTTCATCACAGAATCTGGAAGTTTCTTGCGTTAAGGAATGGATGAGAAGCTGCAGCAGCTTAAGAACGCCGCGTCTCTATTGAAGGGGCTGCTAAGCACAAAAATTTCGCTGTATTTTTCAGCACATTTGACAGCACATTTGCCGTTTGCTCTTCCCTCAGCCACCCAGCAGAAGGCAACATCAGGCAATTACTGAAATAGCTGGGAAAGCAGCAAAACACGCTGTGCAAAGCAAGACACCAGACATAATTTGGGGCATTCCGTGCAGCACAAGCGCTGCAGAGAAGGCAGGCAGCTGCAAAACAAGCCTCTGCCTCCTCTCCAAGGTCACAGCCCGCATTCTGGAAGCTCTGGGTTGCCATCTGCAGATTATTCAATTAAAAACAAATACTTACTCTCCCTTGGCAACCGCAGCCACACCAGACATGTGTGCATTAATCAGGATGTCACGTGAACCTTTACATTTATAACTGGAGTGAGGAATCTTTCCAATCCCGGTTTTTTTCCTTATGTTTTCCTACATTTTATTGCACTACTTCGTGTGCTCATCCTCCTTCTCTGGAGTAACTGGTACTATCTGCTGGTGACAAAAGACCCCGAGGTAGCACCCTGGGTACCTGTTCCACCCCGTAACGCTACAGACTCTGACTGCAACAGAACTTGAGGCTTTTTCCCTTGCTGACATTCTCATTTTTGCTAGAAAGCCCAATTCAAGTAGTTGACTTGGTGCTCAAACCAAGCTTCGCTATCCTAATAGCTGCTGCCCCTCTCCAGAGATACGTGGGGTCCCAAAGTGAAAGGGCGGCATTAGCTGTTCCCCCGCTGCCTTTCAGATCCAAAAGAAACTCATGAGATTTGAAAAGAACACAGAACTGGGTTTGTTCTTCGATTTATTACAGAAAACAGCACTACCAGAGCGTATTTCTGACCGCTTCTAACCAGAATTCAAATGATTGGACCAGTGTTTATTATTCTCTTCCTTTGTTGTCCAGCTATGAAGTTACAACCAGACGTCTGCAACACCACCTTTAAGCGCAGCAGGTCCCAGAGGAATCCTCTGGATGAACAACATTAATCAAGTCCTATCACTGCAACTGCTCACTTCCGGACACGCACAACCACAGCATTGTTAGTCCGCTCCTCGTGCAAGATTTACTTTAAAAATACCAACACGATGCCTACGCACATTCTTCTACAGCAACTGCAGCAGGGACACGCTGCTCGCAGTGTGAAATGTACTGGCTGGCGCTCCCCCCCCCCCCCAAAACACACGCATTCTGCAGCCACTTCATATGGGCTTAGCAGCTGCAAGCTTTGGATGCTGAGGTCTGGATCGGGTTTTTTCCTGCCAGAGGCATCCAAGCTGAGGTTTGTGCTGCTGCTTGGCCTCGCAGTCACTCACCTGGGCTGCTGCGCATCAAGCGCTTCTGTCCTGGACCACTGAGGCTAGACAGTAAGGCAAAACCTCACTGCTCACACCAGGCTCATGAACATGGGAAGAGGGAAATCTCCAGGGGTGAGAACATTAAATGCTGATAGTGATGGAGTAGCACTGTGCTGACCCATACACCCTGACCCATCATTTCTAGCAGTATGGCATAAAATCACAATAATGCCATGGCAGCACTGGGGAGAGACTACAGAGCACAACCAACACACACCCAGCCTACAAAAAACCTCACAAAAATACAACTTCCAAAACAATTATTACTGGATGCCTACAGCCCTTTGATAACCAAAGCACTTCATCTTCAGACTTCGTTTAAATCAGTCACAACGCATCCACAACAACTAATAAGATCACAGAACCACAGAATGTGAGGAGTTGGAAGGGACCTGGAGAGCTCCCCCAGTGCAACCCCTGCCAGAGCAGGATCACCAGAGCAGTCACACAGGAACACGGCCAGGGCTTTGGGTGTCTGCACACAAGGAGACTCCACAACCTCTCTGGGCAGCCTGGGCCATGCTCCATAACCCTCACACTGACAAAGTTTGTCCTCATCTTCAGCTTGAACCTCCTGTGCTCCAGCTTGAGACCATTGCCCCTTGTCCTGGCATTGGCCATCCCAGAGCAGAGCCTGGCTCCTTCCTCCTGACACTGCCCTTTAAAAATTTATGAACAAATTTATAAACACTAAGACTAACACTAATAAGATCCTCTACTCAGCTTCATTCTCTGTCCTGAAAATGCTGCAGGCTACTGAGGGAAGGAGACCCTGTATGTGCTCTGCCACAGCTCACAGCAGCCTCGTGCCCAAGTCACACAACACAGCCTGAAGGTTCTGGCCTAGCGTTAGAAACATGTAAAAGTAAATAATTTTGATTCCCAAAATTGGGATTTTTTACAGTTGTTCTATCTGTGTACACTCTAACATTTTTATAAACTGAGAAAGACTCATGATGTGCTTAACATATGGACTGCCCACCTGTATTACAGATTAACAAGATGTTCACAATTAAGCTGTGGCAATAAAGGGAGACTCTTCATATTCCCAACTGGAACAGACGCTACTCCACTACCTTGCCCATGCTGCCAATGTGAACGAGCTCAAGAAAGATTATTTCACAGCTAGCAGAGATGATTATGAGACACGGAACTGTGAAGGGTGAAAAAAGAACGGCAAAACTTCAAAAAGCACAATAAAGTGCCTTGCTCTTGTGTGCTTTTCTCAGACTTGGTGGGGAAGGGACAGTCGCTGGTGCAGCAGGAGGGCAGGTCGTGGTCAGCAGCACTTGAGCCCAGCAAGCACCTCTGCACTGACGGTTTTGAGCGGTACCTTCTCTCTAGCGCAGACGACTTGAAGTGGAGTTGTCAAACTCCAATCCTGATGAGAACGGTGTCTGAGAAGTTTTCAGCTGTTGTTTTGCAGGGGAAAACCAAACCAAAAGCAGCAGCATTTCTAAAATAGCCTAAAAACAGCTGAGAAATAAAAAGTATTTAGATGGTAACGTGATAAACAGTCTCCAGTGCTGGGTTCAGGACTACGGCCCAACGTTGACAGCTACAGGCAGGTGTAAGACTGGTGATTTTCAACAGATAAAAACACACTTTTAAACAACCTGGCATCTCAAATGACTGTCAACTTTTGTCCCAGACTTGACTGGGTCACAGGGCCTCCTTACATAGCAGTGTCTGTCAGCACCGGATTTCAGAAGATTATTCAGAGCGCATTCCTCGACAGAAAGCATTTTTCAACCACTGCAGCCATGTACAGTTACTAAGGATTAGCTCCAATATACACAGAAACACACACTTTTCCCTGCTGCTGTAGTTTGAAAGCAGCTCGTTAATGCTTCAGCACCTAAGAGGGACCCAAAGACAGTACAATGTATGTCATTTATAAGTACGGCTCTTGAAAGAGACACTCAAGGGCAATGCTGCTGAACTTCGGACTATTTATCACAAAATATGAGAGCCATGAGGCAGCAGAGGACATTTCCACCACCAAATCAGTACCAAATAGCAGCCATGGGACAAGTGACTTCCCAGTGCACCGCATGAATCAAGAGCATTAACACAGTGTTCCAGCTTTCTCGGATTCCAGACAGACTTTGCCTAGCAGGCTTTCAGAACGAGCTTTTCCAATATAAATTTGCTCTTGAAAAGAGCCTCCATTTTTTCCCCAGGAAATCCTGCTTTTCCTAACAGAACAGTGGATTTTAGAAACGGGAGTCAATTCTGCTGCACTCATCTCGAGTTAGGAACTGCACACCAGTCACATCAAAAAACCCACAGCGTTATTCACTGTAATGCTGGCCACAGAAAAAACCTGACTGCAAGATGGCCAGTGAATAATTTTTGAGTGCATATGGATTGCTAGCAATAAGATAGCACAGCCATATCCTTTAAGAAAATTCTAGGAATGAGACAGTTCGTTGTGAGCCTGCAGTGGAGCTGAAGAATGACAAGGATGAGCGATTAGTTGGTGCTGTTTGGAAACGTCAGGCCACCAACGCCAAGCTGCAGCGGTTGGCAGGGAACCTTGAAGCCCTCCAAGCAATCGCTGAATTTGATAACACATAATAAACCAGTATTAAGCATCCTGACACCTTCTGTCTCGAGCACTACTCACGTCTGTCCCACCAGACTGGGGGTTTAGCAGAGACAGAGTAAACACAGCTCAGACAGGGGCACAGCGCAGGCAGCTGTCTGACCACAGCTAATTTAGCAACCTGTTTACAGCTGGAAAGGAAACTTATCCCCACGCAGATGCCAACTTGGCAAAGGCTTAATGAAATCCTCTAAGGTCAAACCGAGTGCTGCGGGGAGGCAATAAATATTTGCTAGTCCACCCCCACACATGTGCCACGAGATGCACGCTTGTAGCACACAGCACAAGCCTTCGGTGTGGGTTACCAACTGCAACACCTCTGCCCGATGAGCAGGCACGTCTTCGCTAAATTCATCACTCCTCCTAACCCTCTCAGGGGTACGGGATGGGAAAAGACTGCTTTACAGCCAGAAAATCTCTACCCCAGCCAGCAATAAAAGTCCTTGCCAGCACTGAACATCCCTGCCAGATAACTCCACTGTGTGTGTACCAGGAGCTCCACTGGAGCTGTGTGCAGGCTTTGCCACAGGCTCTCTTGAGAGCACCAGCATTGGCACCGACTCCAGTACACGTGCACAGATGACAAAAACCTCCACCTACACTGCATTGACATTGGGATTTGCACATAAGAAAGGAAAATCTGGCAGTGTCACATCTGAATTCAGTGCTAGCGAGAGTTACAAGACAAAGTGGTCATCTAAAAATCCATCCAGTTTTGAAAAGGCTAAATAGAGCCAAAACAAAACCAGCTTGCAATGTAGTTCTCAGCTGCTTTCTGACTGCTCATCCTTGTACTGGACAACACGAACCATCAGCTCTGATCCAAAGACTAGAGAGGTGGACTGATTCCTCATGCCTCCCAATGAGCCCAGTGCTCAGCACCCACAAACCGATTTGGGCTCTACCCGAGTGTGGATTCCAGGATGTGGCTCTTCATCAATTGGGGTTTTAATTGTAATTTTGCAAGTTGTTTAATCAACAGCAGTCTGACCCCTACATGTAAAATCAAACAATTATGAAAGCATTTCCAGGATCTGGATCTAAATCTCACCTCACAGGTCAACAAACCTAAGACCATAGTTTTTAATTCCTTAGCCACTCCTCAGTGTCTATGGTTTAGGTTTAGAAACCCTGAGCTACAAACACATCTGATTTCTAAAACTGCTTCAGCGAGTGCCAATTATCCCTACACTTTTCTCAAACACAGCTTTATCTGCAAAGCCAAGCACCCATTTTCTATCTTATCATCAGAAGCGAGAGGGTAAAACGTTAACAGAATAACATCTGAAGTGGAGTTAACCTAGATTACATACGTGGATATAGGAGAGGTACATCAGCATTATTCACCACCACGACAGCTTTAAGAGCGTGAGGTTATTTTAAGAGGCAAAGGGCAGACAGCAACATCTGACACCGTCGAGGGGAATCACGACTTCACACTTACATGGAACTCGGTCGTATTGAGAATGTGACGACCATCCGGGCTCCAGCATGAAGCCACCAGTCCTGCCGAGCCCTCGTCGATCTTACAGTGCCAGTCGGGCTGCTCCAAGGACCAGACCTAGGTCGGAGAGGAAAGCAGAGAGGCAGCACATCAAGCAAACAGCTCACCAAGACCTCAGTCACCAGAGCACGCTACAGCCGCAGAAAGGTTCCTGCAGCGCATACCAGAGAGGCCAGGAAACCTCTGAAGTCCCACAGCCATGAAGGACTGGTGCTGGATCCCACTACAAAAGTAAGCCCCATGCTTCTGTGTGTTAATACAAGTTGTTCAGTAAGGTGTTGGGGTCTTTCTCTGTGAGAAATAGTCTGAACTTCCAACACTTAAAAAGAAGTTCGGGTCCATTTAAGTTGCATGTATTTATTTCTTACTGAACTATGAAAGCGCTTTGGCTTGTTTTGATAAATATTTTTATTCTAAATGTGGGGTTTTCCAAACTAAGTTGTTTGCCACGGTTACAAAACTAACGGTTATCCTCAAACCACGCACTATCAATGCCAGTGACCTCAGCAAAAGCACTGAGCTAGCGCCTGCTGTTCAGCAGCTCCCGCTCACCCCACACACAGATCCCCAGGAGGACACAGCCTCTGTCCTTACCTGAACAACGCCGCGCTTGTACATGGCGCACAGCAGGAAGAGGGAATCCGACGACCACGCGACGTGCTGGACCTGGTCCAGGCAGGTGTAGAGCTGCAGGGTCTGCAGGGTGCTCGCGTCCCGGACCACCACACGGTGCTGCACGCACGAAGCCTGCACGGGCACAAACCCCAGGCTGAGCCGGCATGTGGACACCGGGCTCGAACCACGGCTGCTCCTGTGCCGTGACCAAACGCGGCACCGCGCTGCGCCGCCTCGGCAGACCTCAGACTAAGGAGGATTTTTAACTGCAGAGAGGCTCAGCGTGCACTGTGCTCTACAAGCTACAGCAGAAACCGTTAAACCGGGAGGGAAGAGGGGTATATTAATGAAAACAATCCTCACTCAATTCTATCGCTGTTAGTTAACTAGTTCTGCTTTTAAAAAACACAATTATTTGTCTCATGACTATTATTTTATTTAATTAACGTTACCCAGGTCTCCGTTACAAAGATAGCTGCTGACTCTAAGCCTCACAGCAAGCAAGCCGTCCTATACGTACGCTGTAGGCGTATAAGAACCATATGCAGTTACATTTTCGCAGGATAAATTACCGCTACTTCAGCATCCGAGTCCGTGGCTTGCAGGCCAGGCC